GAGTGCGTACACGATCCTGCTATGCCAACCATTAAAACGGGGAAGGTTCTGTTGGGTATTATTGAGTAGTACTGGCTTGTAATATCCACATGTATGTATGCAGGTGGTAAACGTCAATGCATTTCTCAACGTTAAAAAAAGGATTTGAATAAATGTTATTTATCTGTTTTTTATGTATTCACTATTATAATAATAAGGATAGACTTCAAACAATGGATGTTTTGTTGAAAAAAACAGTAATTATTATTAATATTTCAAATATTTAGTTTTAAAGTGCAAGCAAAAACAACATTAGTTTTAAAAATTCCGGCTTATCTTTGTACATTTATCTATTCATATTAGTCTTCCGAAAAGGACAATTGAATAGTTGGGTGGGTAGATTAGTTGATAGTATTTAAAGGATTGTTTAGCATAAAGGCAAAAATGGAATAGACAAAAGATTTGTGGTGGGTATGTAAAAATGAGTTAAGTAGATATTTCTAAGCCACTTTTTAGTTAATACCAATTTTTTTCTTTTAATGTAACAAAGTAGGTACATATTATGTTAAAATATAACGTTTAAAATTTTCATGCTACATGTTTCATGCTTGATGCTACTCACATTATAGAGTTCCGAAATATTTGAAACTGAAATGAACAAGTGAATTGCAGCTACAGACATAGGATAGAATATAATATATTAATTTATAATGAGGAAAAATTATCAAAAATAAACTACGCATGCTAATATAGTTATAAGTATACATTCTGGTGGCATACAAAATATACCTACGCGAACAATGAATATTTTTTCTATATATTGTATTTCGAATTAGGATGTTAACAATTATTTTTATTACCCTACAACAAATTAATGTAAACATATCATAATAATGAGTTAAAATCGTAAATTTCTAACCCAAGTTCAATTAATATATTTTAAAACAACACATGAAAAATATTAAATATCTTTTTTTTTAAATAATCTTAAAATTAATTAATAACTTATTACATAAAACCCTTTGACCTATATTTCTTGGACACTTGACTGATTAAAAAAAATATCTTTATTGGAACAAGAAAGAACAACTGACTAACGGAGAGAGCAATTTACGATAACACTAAATAGTAAATACGTATGTACTTACCGTTTACTGTTAGCACATTATTTATTCATGTGCTGTTTGGTTGTAGAGTATAAAAGAAAAAAATATTTTACCTATATAATAGGTCAACTTAGAACTTAACTGTCTAAGCCCACAGGTCGAAGGTTTATTGCGACTATAGCAGTGTAATTTCTTTAATGTTTGACGTCAGACATAAATATGGTAATCTTATGTAATAAACGTAGGTAGCGCTACACTTGTTTATAAGTAATTGAGCATAGTTAAATAAACATCAGCACTATTTGCTTAATAACTATGCGGTATAATCAAAGATACTTGTAATGTATATGTCCTCTACGTATAGTTCAATAAATACATACAGCACAAAAGTATAAAATAACAATAACGAAAGAAAAAATATGTCGTAAACCTATATGAAGATCAAATCAAGCTAGTTAGCTAAAGAGTTTTAGTATATAACTATACTATTTGTTTTTGTAGATTGGCACAAAAATATAATCGGTATGCAATATCAATAAATACTTTTTGAAATAAATAAAAAAATGGGGACAAAAATAATGTCCTCTTGACCGATTTCAGCCACGGAGGCCAATCTCACTGACACTGGACAGATACGCAGAAGGTATAGTGCACAAGTGTACACGCAGACACAAGTACACTCTCTATTCATGTTACTCTCAAAGTCCGATGGCTCGATACTTTGACATAACCGTTGAGAGTAAAGGAGTCTGCCCACTACATCGTCTCATACTATGACCGTGCTATGAACGTATCAGGCACGAAAACGAGTATAGCATGAACTACTATGCCCACTAGAACGTATCAACAGCGTATCATACCCGTACATAACGGTTTTAGTGCTGCATATGCTTACCATTGCGCCGCCTGCGGTCCCGCAACGCCGCGTGCCAGGCATGTAGCATACCGGCACCGGCAAAATATTCTCGCTGACCCGGTGCCGGCCCGGTGCCGGCCTGGTTCCGGTCCGGTACGGTCTAGTGGGCAGACTCATACTTTTCAAAATAAAGAATATTTTTTTCTCTCCGAGCTGTTACTGAGAAATTCCTGATATATAGATAATACTCAATAGCTGAACTTGGCCTGACCTGGGACTCGAACTCAAAACCTCCAGATCTGTGTCCGTACATGTTAGCAATCAAACCACCGTGACACTTATTGAAAATTTGGGATAGTACCAATATCTATCTTATAAAAATTCGATTCGAAGATACCTGTACATATATTTTATAAAGGTATAAGTTATATATATGCTAATTTTTTTTTTATTTTGCTTATACAATGCACAGTGCCTTATATAAGCGGTTCTTGTAGAAAATTATTCTATTCCAAATAAGACTTGCTAAAATTAGTAGCCAAAAGAAAGCAAGAATATAGAATATAAAATTAAAATACATATTACATTGACCAAATTATTTCCTTAGGCAAGTTATCAACCAAAAAATAGGGATTATATGTATGTATATTACTCTCATATTTTAAACAAATATTTATCATTCGGTAAGCAGATGGCAGATGGGTGAAGAATGAACATACTTCCGATCTTATACTATTATCAGCATCAGACCACTGTAAGACAAACAACAAATACCAAATTCATTGTTAGTGCAATAACAGCTTATATATTAACAGAAAAGCTTAGTAAAAATGTTTTGTATTTTTTCTTTATCGCTCTTCTGATAGTCTCATGACAATGCTCTCAGTGCGTGGGCGCGAACAATGTGGTTCACTGCCCACTTATCCAATGTTCAGGCTAAATTTCCGTTTCAAACAAAACTTGATTCAGTTTATCAAACAAAACATCCGTCGGTCTCATTATGGAAACATATTTTAGCGATAAAAAGCGTCCAGGCCTACTTTTAACTTCGGAATAATAATTAAAGAACAGTAAATAATGTAGTTACTATAATATCATACTGTAGCTGATTTTCTTAATGTATATTAATCGAATCCGAATTTTATCATATGTATAGATATAATAAAATGTTAAATTGAATCTGTAGATTAAATATTTTTTGGAAAATTTTATTTAAACTATAAGTGAGAAGGGTCCTAATGCAGGATGACACTAATAAAACTTCGACATATTCTTTGCGTATATTCTTATATTCAGTACTTTTGGAACATCAACTTAATTCTTTTATAATCGTGAGTACATCTGTCCGTGTGGAAGCTACCACCGTTACTTTTATAAATAATGAGTTACATAACCCATACTCCATACTAATATATAAATGCGAAAGTAACTCTGTCTGTCTGTTACCTTTTCACGCTTAATCACCTGAACTGATTTAGACGGAATTTGGTATGGACTCTTTTTACCCTGGAAATCATCCCTTAAGGAAGTGAAAAGGGGGTGGAACTTTATATGATATGGGATATAAAAACTTATCATACCTATGTGTATGTATATAGATAGACTGTATAGTCTATGTATTCCATACTAACTGTCATAAGGTATCTATGGACGAACGAAGCGAGGTGAGTCGCTAGTTTATAATAGTAACTTACAGTACATATTACAAACAATCCATGACTAGTCACTACAAGGTGGTAGCGACATCTCTATAAAAAGGCAAGGGAAACAAATGAATATCCGCGTCCTTTTTATTTTTTCAAATACGTATGTACATTCCTATCGGCCAACGTCACATAAAAATGTTTTTTATATATATATATATATATATATATATATATATATATATATATATATATATATATATATATATATATATCATTAGAAATTAATCAAATACATTATTTTATCATTAAAACGCTCATATATAAAAATGTTACCTTACACTAGTTATTGCCTTATCCACTTTTGTATTACGGTAGGGCCCAAGGTGGTCCCGTATAATTGTCTTTGAAATAGAGTAAGCCGTTGTCGAGAAAACCAGAAAAACCCATGAAATTTGAAGTATGTTAACAGACCTAGTCTTTTTTATGTATTTTTAATTGTCATATCGACTTGAAACTTTGCAACGTTTTGCGTTTCTAATGATAATACAGTTATTTAGTATCATAATATTAAGGTGGATCGTGGAACTCTTCAACGGTTACTAGTAAATACTTTGAGTTTGATCTTATTTCGTTTTATTTGTCAAACCCAATATGTTAGAATTGGATTTTAGATTCTGATTTGTAGTGTTACTAATAAAAGTGAGTTTGTTAGTTTGTACTAATTGATATAAAATTTGGCATACTAATATATCGAATTGCTTGAATAACATATCGGCTTAATCGAATATGTTATTAAAAAACTTTCTTCTAAAAAAATTGCTACTTATACGTCTACACTAACAATGGAAAAATAAAAACTTCAAGAAAGCCGACTTCCAGGCACTGAAAAGCAAAAAAAATACTGAACGGGGATTTTCATTGACTATAGATACACAACATAAATACATGAATACATGAGTGTAGAGATAAAATGAAAGTCCAATAGTAAAAATAGAGTTTATTATAAATTTTAATAATAAATTATAAAATACATTAGTGTAGTTAAAATATTTAATATATAGAGATATAAATAGAATGCGGAATAAATAACAATGTATATATTTAATTATTTTAAATTTCAATCGATAACAAGCTTTAACATTTTAATCAGGTATATCATCAGGTTAGCAAATAAAAAACTAAATATAAGTTACAATAAGCTGTCTTATTTCCTTAATTCGAATAACGTGTGAAGATATATTAAATCAATAATCAGTACGCTTTAAAATTTAACATGACAGCGCAACGGAGAATCTGAATTAAATTTCAGTGACCAATAGTTAAGATGTCGTTCAATGGTTATAAAACTGTCATGGCTATCTATTACGTTATATTGAGTAAAATATATTATTTCTTCATTATATGAAGACATTATTTAACACCAATATCACGAGACGTGGTCGTCGTGTTCGTTCGGACTACAGTCGTTGTAGCATTAGCATTTTTGGCTGACTTTCCTACTTTCTTTATAGTCGTCTTAGTTGTCGTTGCCAAAGTTCCGCCATTTTGCAATTTTTGAACGTCACTGTTGACTCTTACTTCTTCCGTCGCCCTCACATTTGCTTCGTGTGCGTTCGCTTTATTTATTTGAGTATCGACGTTTTGTGTATAACCTTCTTTATGTATGACCTCGGTATTTCTCACTTCACTGCTATTTGCACCCCTTTCTCCTTTATCAAACACTTGTATAGCTCCATTATCAGTAGGTATTACTTCGTTTTCTTCATAACGTTCTATGAAACCGTTTCCATCTGTGTTATCTATTGTATATGATCCTCTGCGTTCTGGAACCCATATTAATTCTTGTGTTAGCGTGTCTCTTATTGGTTCGGGTGTGGCTGTTGTACTTCTTATTTCGTTTTGAGTTCTCACATGCGTTACATTAGTTCTGTTAGTTCTGTGAGAATCGATGTTTGAATCGATTGATTCGGCTACAGAATGTCGTCCGTTAATCGGTTCGTATGCATCATTATTGTTAGTGTTTTCGTTTCTATTATCAGTCACTTGTTGGGTCTTCTTGACGACGGTATGACTTTGAGTGTCTACGGAATTTCGCTGTTCGGTGGGTTTAAGCTGTCCTAGTAGTGGAGAATGTTTGATTCCGAATGATATTTGCGGTGTTTTGTTTTGCTGGAACTGAAAATAAGGAAAATATGAATTAGAAAAGATTTTTTTTACAAAATAAACGTTTTATCCAATATAATACATAAAATTTCATAGAATTACCTATAAACTGTTTACAATATACATGAAGACATAGACCACCACTTTCTGTGTCTGTAATCTTTTTTTCATATTTCAAAATAAATTTAACTATAGTGTATTTCATTCAATATTTGCTCTTTTAATGATTGATTTTAAATATAAAGTTTTTAGGATACTTAGTGTTAGTCAAATACATTTTCAGAGTCACTACAGTAAATGTTTGACAAGATATCTCTTTAGTTGGTGAGGCTATAGGAAAAACTTGCTAGCTATCGATAAAATTAATCATTGTAAATTGTTATTATATACGCCAACTAGGCGATTTACAACAGCATTATTTTGTTTTTTATTCTTCTAACAGTATTTATGAAAACTATAATAAAGCTTAAATTTTTTTAACACAAACTCCAATAACAAATCGATACATACAATGCAATGTATTGACATTTATTGAGACCAACTTTTAATTGCTAATCTCTTTGTTCCTGCTGAGATCTAATGATATAAAATTAATATTTAGAACAATCCTATACCTTTTCGGGCGAGTAAGTGCCGGGCGCGGGTTGTCGCGCGCGGTCGTCTTGCTGCGGCTTGGGGCGCCCCGTCATCGTGTACACCGGCGAGTCCAACACCGACGGGATGCGGTAGCTATTTGGAGCTGTACACGTAGGAATAGATTAATAATATCCTCCTGAACCGATTTCCGCCATGGCGGCCGATCTCACTGAGAGTTAAAGTGAATGAGTGCACGCGCAGACACAAAAACACCCTCTATTCCTTTTCCTCTCAAAGACCGATGACTGTAAATACTGAAAAGATCTTAACAGAAAAACTCGGTAATTAAACTTGCCGATCCGAGATTTTAACCCAGGACCTCTGTCTGTGTGATCTGTAGTCGCCTGCGGGTACACTTATTACGCATAATATAGACAGCTATTTAAATTATTTTTCTTTATACTTGACGAAGTCCGATGTTAGTATTATATATACAATATATAATATTTGCCATAACACGATAATGCATTCTCATGTTAGTTGGATTATTATTTTTATTATATTTGCTAAAGTTTGTATGTACGACAATGTGTGTATATGTGTATTACTCATTAGACGGATTTGAATGTAAATTAGTACATGTCATAGAAATAGATAATTTGGAATCACGAGATATACTTCAATTTTATTTAAATTAATTATATAGACATACATATATATATTCAAATTATTAATATATAAACAGACATACCTGGTGAATCTGAATATTTGTCCGTGTGTATTTTCACACCGAAGGTATACTGAGGCGAGTATGTTAATACAAAATTGTATCCTTTCTCAGGATTGTAAGCGCCGGGGGCCGGGACTTTGAGTCTTTCGTCGATCGGCTCTTTGTGTCTGCCCGATATCGTGTACAGGGGCGTCTTGGTTAAGTTCGGTATTGTGTAAGCATTTGGAGCTGTAATTAATATTAATTTGTTATTGGATTACCTTCTATTTTTACCGACTTAATTCTCAAATGTCATCATACGGTACATTATTTTCGCAAAATGTTTATTAATCACTATTGTTGTGAATAAATTCAAACTCAGCGCGACGGAGGACATTAATTTATAATACGTAAAGAATAATAACCAATTTTTTGATGTTATAGAAAGTGCAACATCATTCCATTATAAAATAGTAAAAAAATAATATCTTTCCAATTGTTTTGGCCTTAATATAAGTTAAGTTATAATATGAAATATACAAACACTTAAAGTATTACCTGGACTATCCACAAGTTTTAACGATTCAGGCTTAATCCTGAAAGTGTACTGCGGAGAACTCTTCAACAACACTTTATCTGCTTTATCTGGACTATAGTTATTTGGTGCTGGAACGACATCTGGTTTGAACGGATTTGTTTTTATCCTGAACGAGTATCTTGGAGCGCTATCTAACAATATCTTATCTGCTTTTTCCGGATTATAAACATTAGGAGCGGGTGTGTCGCTTATTTTATTATCTTTCCCCTTAGGCGATAACGTGTATGCGGGAGTATGCTCCAGAATAACTTTATCCGCTTTTTCCGGATTGTAAGAGTTAGGGGCTGGTGTATCCGGAATCTTTCCAGAGTAAATTTTAGGTCTAAATGTAAATGCTGGTGAGTTTTCATGAATAACTTTATCGCCTTTCTCAGGCCAGTATGTGTTAGGAGCGGGACTGTCCGTTATTTTTCCGGTAACACCTTTTCCTGTTAATGTGAATTTTGGTGCGTCATCCAGAATGTGCGGGTCGTAGGCATTCGGCGCAGGAACATTGAAATGTTTCGGATCAAATCCTTTTCCATACATGGAATACTTAAGACTGCTATTTTGTAAGTTAGGGCTATATGATGCTGGACCTGGGCTTTCTTCTATTTTGGGAGAGTAACCTCTACCACACATAGTATATTTTAGAGAGTTTGATACTAAATGAGGATCGTAATTCGAGGGGCCTGGGGTATCTGACGGTTTGCTATCTCTGCCTTTGCCAGCCATTGTAAACTTGAGTGAGTCATCCGATAAATGGGGATGGTAAGCATTTGGTGCGGGAACGTCAGATATTTTTGCATCATGACCTTTACCGCACATAGTATATTTTGGAGAATTTGAGGCTAAATGAGGATCATAATTAGTGGGACCTGGAGTATCAGACGGTTTGTCATCCTTGCCTTTACCAGCCAATGAAAACTTGAGTGAGTCGTCTGGTAAATGAGGGTTGTAAGCATTTGGTGCGGGAACATCAGATATTTTTCCATCCGGACCTTTACCGCACATAGTATATCTTGGAGAATTCGAGGGTAAATGAGGATCATAATTCGTAGGACCTGGAGTATCAGATGGTTTGCTATCCCTGCCTTTACCAGCCAATGAAAACTTTAGTGAGTCATCTGGTAAATGAGGGTCGTAAGCATTTGGCGCGGGAACATCAGATATTTTTCCATCCGGACCTTTACCGCACATAGTATATCTTGGCGAATTTGACGATAATTGAGGATCATAATTCGTAGGACCTGGAGTATCAGTTGGTTTGCTATCTTTGCCTTTACCAGTCAATGAAAACTTTGGTGAGTCATCCGGTAAATGAGGATTATAAGCATTAGGAGCAGGAACATCTGAAGGTTTTCCTTGTTGACCTCTACCACTAATAGTGAATTTTAGAGTAACATCTAATAACCGTGGATCGTATACATTAGGCGCTGGGGTGTCATTTGGTTTTGCGTCTGGGCCTTTACCATACATACTGAACTTGGGTGCTTCGTCTACCAGCCGCGGATCGTACATGTTTGGCGCGGGAGTATCGCTAGGTTTATTAACACCAACTTTAGGTCTAAAAGTATAAGCTGGAGAAGATTCATGAAGAATCTTGTCCGCTTTATCTGGATTATATACATTTGGTGCAGGTGACTCGCTCCTAATAGTACTTTGTTCTTTAATTCTAAACGAGTACATTGGTGTGCTTTCATGTAAAACTTTATCAGCCTTTTCTGGATTGTAGCTATTAGGGGCGGGCGTTACTTCCTTTTTAATTTCACAGCCCTTGCCTTTGATAGTAAATTTCGGGCCACCATTTAATAAATGCATAGATTTCTCTGGGGCATATACATTAGGAGCTGGCGTTTCTTCAAATTTTACATGAACATCTTTAGATTTAAGCGTATAAGCAGGTGAACTTTCATGTAGTAATTTGTCAGCTTTTTGTGGGTTATAAGAGTTCGGCGCCGGTGTAAGTTCAAGTTTTTCAGCGGCACCTTTCCCTGCTAGAGTATATTTTGGCCCGTTTTTCAGCGCGTGCAAAGATTTCTCAGGGGAATAAACATTAGGTGCGGGTGCATGATGTACTTTAATAATTTCAGATTTTGTCCTAAATGTAAATGCTGGAGATTTCTCTCGTAAAAACCTATCTGCCTTTTCAGGCTTATAAGCATTAGGTGCTGGTACTTGTTTGATTTTTTCTATTTTAGTTTTAGTTGAAAGTCTATACTTTGAAGACTTTTCGAGCAGTACTGCATCACCCTGAAATATACAAAACTGTAGATTAAAAACTATCGCTTACAAAATATTTTCATAAGTACTTAATTTACATCTAAGAACTATCAACAAGTGGCGAAGGTTGAAACTTGAAATGAATAAATATTATTCACTTCTACAGTCACTTCTGAATGAAATGGGTTATACGATAACTTCGCACCTGCTACTTACATGCATTAAAAAAGAAGTGAGAAAATAATAACAAATGCTATTCTACAAAAGAAAATATATTAATCAATATTTTTTATTTATTATAGAAACTAATACTTGAAAACTTAAAAGAAACTACACCTAATAAATATGCAGCTACATATTACCACAATAAATTAATAAAAAAGATACTATACTAGAAATATAAATACAGATAAAATTATTAAATGATTTCAAATCAAAAAGCAAAAAGCAGAAATGGATTAAATCAGCGTTATGGTACAGACGTTAGTAAGCGGTGGTGATTTCTTCAGGCGCCGGATATGGTACAGGTTGACCGATGAACTGAGAGTGACGTATGCCGAATGTGTGCGCCGGTGCCCACGGTAAGTTCACGCACACCTGTTAGTAATAACCTATTAATGTTCCACTGAAAACCCCACTCATAATTAAAATTGAATAGCTTCTTTATGATTATAAGTGAAATTCTAAACATACTATTAACAATGTCAATATGTTTTAGAAAATACCTGTATCTATAGTATCTATATACTGTAACTGCTCAGTACTTATTCATATTTAATTGTTTCATTGATATTGTTTTCAATGTACATTAGATATCTTTAATGGATTGGTTTTCAAATGTCGTGTTAGTCTTCATATTCTTACAATTACCTACTAAAGCAAAATTTATTCATTGCCACTGTTACAGGTATAAATATATTACTGTGTATCTATATATAAAAAGGCAGTGGTAGCCCAGTGGTAACACACTCGCTTGGGAAACTGAGTGAAGCAGGTTCAAATCTTGGGTCTCGCACCTCTGATATTTTCATGTGTGAATCATTTCTAACATGATTACCACTTGTCTTACAATGAAGGAAAACATCGTGAGGAAACCTGCTTGTTTGAGAGAACTATTACAAAATTGTAATTCTTAAAAAGGCCTACAGAGAAGTCTACAATATCATATTATGTCTATCTCCCAAGGTACACTCGAAATACTTATTCTTATTATATATAAAAGGCAATGTAACGACTCACTCAGACTGACTTATCAATGTTCAGCCCAAACCAATGATAGATGTTTAATTTTTTTTTGGATATTAATTTTATATTGTAGTCATCCTTTAAGAAAAGATTTTTCAACATTAATCTCCTAAGGGGTAAAACAGGAGAAGAAAGTTTGTCTGAAACTCTGTCTCTTATAATAGCTTAAAAGTCGCTATTAATGCGACGCTGAATTAACGAAACGGCACAAATTATATATATGGGACGCGGCCTCTGGAGAAGTGAGTCTTTTTAATAGGGACTCTAAATATATAAAATTATTTTGAAGAAATGAAGGAGTCAAAAGTTAGGGGACTTAAATTTACTAAATTTTCATATTTTTTCGATACCTAAATAAGTCATTACTAAAGATAAACATACTTTTAACAAATAGTAAACATCCTTTTTCGTATACGGTTCATATCGATATAACAAACAATAACGGTTTTCGATTTTTCAATAATTTCACTAAAAACAATATCAACAATAAAATAACCTTACATTTTGACAAAACTGACAATTTCTTAATGTTTTGACATAAGCATAACTGATAACAGATTATCACATATAGTTGGATATAAGAGTTGGGCATAATATAGAATTTCTAATTATATTAGGTATATTCTTTTTATATTTTTTATATTTTCTATATTTCTAATAATTTAATTTTGTCGTCTGATTAATTAATAAAATGAAAAAATTATCACTTCATGCATGTATTGGAGACTTTTTGATTTATAAAAAATATTATATTTATTTATTTACATTTTAGTCCAATCGGAATCCGGTTTGTGAACAAAATATTGAAAACCTGAAGTTTTATGATTTTTAAATGTAAGCAGATATATAATGGAATACAATACTATAAAAACTATAAATTTCTCGGAAACGGCTAAACATTTCAATTTCAAAAAAATATAGTTACTATATTATGTATTTCGAAGATTATATTCCACTAGTTTCATGAAAATCAAAAAATTATTGCAGAAATTAAAAATAATATAACTAAGAAAAAATAAATAAACTGTTTTTTTGGAAATATCTCGAAAATTTTGGAGATATTGTAAAAAGGGTCATCTATAAAAGTTGTAGATTTTTATCAAACCTACAACTTTTGTAAAGAAAATTTTTCGATAGGATGTCACAGTAAGCCAAAAATTGAAAAAAAAAACATATTTTTAACGGTTTGCATCCCTCCATTTCTCGGGGGTAGCTGGACAGCGGTGGCATTTTACGGATTTTTGTTCCTTATATACCTACTAACGTTTTAAAGCCATAAAACTTCTTTTTAATTATTATTTTTTTCTCTTAAATATAATCCGATCGGTCTAAAAGTATAATACTATTTTTGGCCCCTAGGCTTATCCTCGCTTCGCTCGGGTAGGTCCTTCTAGGTAGTAGGTACGTTTTGAATAGATATAAATAATTATTGCGAATGTATCTTAGAAGAAAAACTTTGCTTTTGCAGATTTTTCTTTAGGTCTTTTTAAGACCTACAATTTTCTAGTACATTCTTTTGATATATATGGTTTAGCCAGCGTTAGCCATGTAAATTTCTAAGGACGACTCGATAAAACTCGTTATTGTGTTTTCCCGTGAGAATAAAGATTTTCCAGTAGTAAAAGACATCCTTAATGTTGACTCGAGTAATAAGCTATCACTACCTACACAAAATTCGGTTAAAATCGGTTTAGTACTGTTTGCGTGAAACCGCACGCAAACAGTACTAAACCGATTTTAACACATAAACGCACAAACTGAAAAACAGACTTACTATAGGTATACACTATACGTTACACGGTTACAGTCATTGTTTTAAAAAAATATTTATTATATTTATATGAAGATTTTGCTAAGTTTCTATTGATTATATGTATATTTCAGCCTCTGACCCCCCCCCCCCCCCTTTTTTATAGTTGGGAAATCCTATTACGGATACAACCCGACTTCCCCCGGGGTGGTTATGTGGAGACTCTCCGGCTAATGAGACCGACCTACCCACTAAAACCCAACTTCCCCCCCCTGCCGCCATGTGGGACGCCACGGGATCGCTTTCGCAGACAACCGCGACGCGAACCCCCCCCCCCATCAACCCCCCTCCTTCAATTTAACTCTAGAACCGCGCCTGAAATGAAATCTGTACATGATTTTTTTTAAATAATGACTGTAACGTATGTATTGTGTGCAGAATAGACCACAGAACAATAGTTATTAAAAGTCTGTTTGTATTTATGTCTGTTTGTCTGAATATCTGTGAACATTTCAAGCAAAAAGTACTGAACTGATTTTAACTAAATTTCGTGTAGTGATAACTTATTACTCGGTTCAACATTTAGGATGCCTGTTACTACAGGATTTTTTTTATTTCCGAAGGAAAACCTCATAACTGATTATGTCGTGTTGTCCGTAGAAATTTACATGACTAACGTTAAACCTTAAGGATACATCAAGACAATGTACTAGAAAATCCTAGGTCTTAAAAAGAAAGGCCTACAGAAAAATCTGCAATAGCATAAGTCTTTCTCTTAAGGTATACTCGCAATATTTCTATTTAATTGACGCACCCGAGCAATCGCTAGTCTGTATAAATAAATATTATAAATGTGAAAGTTTGTGAGTATGTATGGATGTTTGTTACCCTTTCACGCCAGAACGGCTGAAAGGATCTGGATGAAATTTGGCACAGGGATAGTCTGGAATAGCACATAGGCTACTTTTTATCCCAGAAAAAAAAGTTTCCCGAGGGAAAGGTTTGTTTTTGTTTTTCTAGAGGCGAACCCGAGCGAAGTGAGGTTGAGTCGCTAGTAATGTATAAATTCATGTACATGTTTTTGTTATTGTCCTATTAAGTTTATTTACGTGAATGGAAATTTTCATTTGAATAAACTATAAACTGGTACATACTTTATATAAAATTATTAAGTAGTGACTAATATATAAAACCAGATGGCGATGTATGAATTATTTATTTATTTGGATCTATTTGTCCTCACAAACCGAAGTACCTACGTATCAGAAGAATCTAAAGATTTACGTATTTTATTTATTGATGAAATATGAAAATTTGTTAGTATATGGCGCATGGCTTGAATAATAATATAAATAAACTTACTTTTTCAGGACAATAGACCCCTGGTCCAGGAACTGCGGCAGAAGGGTGTTTTAGTTCTCTTCTAGGCGCCATTGTGTACGCTGGAGGCCGTTTAGTTATCACAGAAGCTGCTTTATCCGTAGTATATGTACCAGGTCCTGGCATAGGTGATTTAGTTTCGATAGTTTTACCACGACCAGTTATACTAAAAGCTGGTGCCGCTCGCTTACTTCCTTCGCGTGCCTCACCGAGTACCGGAGGCATAGAATATTCGTTTGGCGCTGAAAATTAGCAAGTTTATGTATTTAAATATTTTATTTTAATGTCACAATACTTCTTAAATAAAACTATCTTGTCGGATATTTTCATGGAATAATTTTGATTCTGATTCTGTAATAAATAAACTACCGATATAATTTTGAGATGTCAACAACTTAGTGTCCGTGACCATGACATGTAAAGAATTCAAAACGTCGCGTCATTAAAAATCCAAGTAAAATCCAAAAAGATAATTCTATTTAAAATATGAAATATACGCGTAAATCTAAGAATGTTCTGGAATACACTCATATAAGTTCATACTATACACATTAGAAGAGAGGAATATAGAGACTTCCCCATCTAATCTAAATCCTGTAAATTAAAAAAATTACGCAAGAACCGACTTCTAAAGTAGGATATTTAACTAGATCAAAATATTTGTATGGCTAATACAAATATTTCCCATTGTGGGGATTGATGTCGCATGATCGCACTGTATAGTGCCAGTGCTAGTTACGGACAGTGCCTCTTATCAAATTAAACGATTTATAAGCTGTAGGGACTTACATAACTACTAAAACGATCGTTATACACTAAAGGTATGATACGATGCCAAAAGTAAATATATATAAAATTGGTAAATGGTATTCAAAAACATAAAAAAATACATAGAGGACGCTAAATGATCTACAGCAAACAGCCAAATATACTAAGCTTGAAACGATAAAGCTTTGAATGGTGCTTCAATTTTCTTGTTAATAGATTCAAATCGTGCCAATTAATCACAGATTACTTCGCCAATATCAAGTAAAATGGAAAAGACACAGAATGATGCTTATATACAAATAAATGAAGCTAAATAAACAACATAACTCAAAATAAAAAAGCAAACACAATACAAGATAAACCATGCACACGGAAAAAGACCGGATTCAAACCTAATTCAATATGATATTCAAATGATCGACCAAAAACTAAAAAAAAGCAAATGGTGCGATGTGTAATTTGTTTTCCACCTGGCGTTTTACTCCCTGGTTGAGGAAGGTTAACTCGGAGGCCTATAGAGAACGCCGGAGCATGATCTAGAACTGATCGAATAGCTTTGCTAGGCTCATAGTCACAGGGCGCCGGGGTGGGAGTGACTCGAGGGGGCGGCCATCGTCCATGTAAGGACGCTGCAGGACCCACCGCTCGACCTGTTTATTATTCTCTGATAATACTTTGCGAAGCTAATCATTTTCTTAGATCCGTACTGAATTAAAAATGCCTAAAAACTTTTTTTGGCACGATATTTTATAAGTTCAAAAAGATTTAAGACGTTTATAACTCTTTACGAGTCGTGTCAACAACCAATTTCATACATTTATGGTAAAATACGAAGAATACAATACGAATTGGAGTTAAAAATAAACACTAAGTATTGAGTATTTACTATTCACCTACTACATTGCTACTGCACCTTAAGCAATTTTGAATGCAGGGTTTTCATATTGTTTAGTTCGTATTTTTCATTTTTTTTTAAATGCATTAAGAATTTCTAAAACACATGAGTCTGTTTGTTTTCTTTTAAACACTATATATTATAAAAATAGGTCCCTTGCGCCGCATCTGTTTTCATAATTTCGTTAAGTGCTCTCATAATTTTGAATTAATATTAAAATATTCACAGTTAAAAAATATCATAACCGCAAGATATTGAATTATGGAAAATTAAAAAAAAAACTACTGCAAGTAAAAAAATTATAAATAATTATAAAACTTAGGCGGCGATTTAGAATTGGGGACTTGGCCCCTAGCGGAGTGGGTGGTATTTCTGGATAAGGGACGTGATAGAGAGTCGAAATGTTAAATAAATTTTTTAATACAACAAAAGAGTCAAAAGTTATTGAGACTTAAAGTTATAACATTTCCATACATTATTTTGACATTACTACCATTTAGACACTTGGAGTCAAAACGTCACTTTCAATTGTCAAAATGATCTCCAGATGATTGTCTTTATTTGTACTTTGCGTGAAATTCGAATTTTCTAGTTTTCTAGTCATTTATGGCACTCGCCGGCCGCTACCGCGGCACGCTCGCTTCGCTCGCTCGGCTCGTGCGTTGTGGCAACTGTTCTAACCTAACCTAACCAAGATATGACGAATAATTAATAAATAATCTTAAATGTTCTAACCTAACCTAACCCAGATATGAGGAATAATAAATAAATAATCTTAAATGTTCTAACCTAACCTAACCCAGATATGAGGAATAATAAATAAATAATCTTAAATGTTCTAACCTAACCTAACCCAGATATGAGGAATAATAAATATATAATCTTAAATGTTCTAACCTAACCTAACCCAGATATGACGAATAATAAATATATAATCTTAAATGTTCTAACCTAACCTAACCCAGATATGACGAATAATAAATAAATAATTAAAAATATTCACAGATAAAAAAATGATTTTTTTTACTAAATGTACAATTGTAAAACAATATATTTTACATAAATCAAATAAAAAGTCATAAATGTATTTATAAAGTGAAAATAATATTTTTCTTTTTATTTATTTATTTATTAATAGTAATATTTTACCAACAGAAAAAGCAAAAATAATCAAATATAATCTGTTGTCATTTAAGCGGTAATATAAAACAAAGTGTCAGTTTTGCTTTTGTCAAAATGTAAGATCATTTTGTTTGTGTTGTGAAATTATTAAAATATTAAATACAATAAAGCATTAATTGTTGTGAAAATGTGTAATGTACATAAAAAAGGATGCGTACTATTCGTTAAAGGTATGTTTATCTGTTGTAATCACTTATTTAGGTAAAGAAATGTATGGAAATGTGTTAGATATGCTATAACTTTAAGTCTCAATAACTTTTTAGTCGTACGTTTCCTCCAAATATTTTTAATATATTTTGACTCTCTGTCACCTCCCCTATCTAAAAATACCACCCACTCCGAATGGTGGTAAAGAAATATATGAAAATGTATGGAAATGTTGTAACTTTAAGTCTCAATAACTTTTGAATCTTTTGTTGTATTAAAAAAATTATTTAACATTTCGAGTCCCTATCACGTCCCTTATCCAGCAATACCACCCACTCCGCTAGGGGCCAAGTCCCCAATTCTGAATTTGTGCCAAAACTTAATATTCAGTACCTTTCAGATTTCAGTACAGGTACACAGATATCCTATAATTTTTCACTCACTAAACAATCCAACAAACTCACAACAGAGAAGTAACTAAAACAACAATGCACCTAGAGCGTTACAAGACGACGTGTATCGAAGACTGAGCTGCATTGAACCAGACCAGATCAAACAGCCATTCATGGCCCCCAGGCTCCCACACGATTGTTGACTCACCGCCCCGATCACCTTCATTTATACGGACTTATTTGGCGACATCGAACAAATGCAATCACAGAATATTGTGAACATCCAATGCCAGTGCTACATATTCTCAGAATACACAATTTAATTATAAAGGTTGTCCAATTGATTAAATAAAGTTTATGATACTTGAAATATTTTCATTGAATATACTAAAAGAAGTATTGTAATTAAAATTTAAATCATCCAATTCGTGTCAAGGGTAGGTACTGATTCATATTAACTTACGTCAATAATAGTCTGGGTTTAAACAACTTTAGTACATCCCTGGAAAAGGGGCTAAGCGTGAGCGATGTAGACGACATAGTTTATGTAAATTATACTGCAGTAATAAAAACTTGACCTACTTTGCTACCTTCTTGTGTTATAATATCCTGTAAAATATGTTGAAATTTTTTGAACAGTAAAATATACATTGTATGAATAGATCCATAATAATAATTATAATTGATTTATATAGGTAAGGCGAAATAATATTGTACTTAGTAAGTTATTTTTTTATTAAATCTCATTTATAATTTTCTACGTTTGGTTCATTAGATATTATATCTTTGTCCAAACTAATAACCTCGTAAAAATATTCGTATGTTTAAATGTCATCTCTTTTACATTATATGAAAAATCAAAACTCTATATAAGTTACGTGTTGTAGCAGTACACAGACGCAAAATGTAAATTCTATTCTATTCATAGAAATCAAGACTAATCTGTTTATTGTGTGTACACTGTATATATATGTATGTATATGTAGTATTATGGTGTTTATGGGTGTTTATGAGATATATCTCGTATATTGAGAACGACATTACCTTTAAGTACACTCAAGTTTATTTATCAACAATTTCCCAAAGGATGAAGTGGTTTGTATTTTAGTAATTTCTTACATGTGGGTGGGGGCTATTAAACTAAATGAAGATCGATTGCCTATCGAATTAGACAGATGCATTGAAGCAATCTATTGCCATTAATATGAGAAAATATTTATTTCTTAAATATAAAGCGTTTTCTCTAAATATCTAGTTATATTAGTATAACGACTCACCATCGCTCCGCTCGGGTTTGTCACTAGATACGTTTTACCGGTTAGTATACCTGGATTTCTCAGAGATAAGATATTTTCATGCACTAAAAAGTAGCCTAAATGGTGACCTGGACAACTAACTATCACCATACCCAATTTCATCAAAATCCATCCAGTGGTGTTTTCGTGATGCGTTCCCAGACAGACAGACAGACAAAAATTCTAAAAACTATAGATTCGACCTCTGTATCGATAATAATAACTTTAACTATTACAACAAGATTTTCCAAAAAAATTAATGTACAGTTTCGACTCAGAATTTTGTTTTATATATAGATTATTTGAGGAAATTAAATAACACTATAGCAACATTGTAAATTGTAAAATGCCATAGTACCTAATAGGATATATGTATACCTACTCTTATAAAAACCTGTAATAGGTATATACATAATCTTATGAGAAAATTTTGTCAACATTTTTTTATTTCTCTAAATAAAAAAATAACAGAAAACGTTCTCTGAGCTGTTTACAAAAATATTTTCATATAGTTGATGACGTGAATATATCAACATTCAACACTGGTACCTAGACTCGAACCAGTTAGAAAGAATTTCACTCTGCCCTAATCGATCGAGTCGCTTATAAGGATTAAAGTAGTAAGTGGGTTGATTAACTGCACCTATTATATATGTAGATTATAAAAGAGCGCTATAAAAATAGACATGCCTCACCTTTAGCTGTCATGCCTTCTGTATTGTAGGAAGCGGGTCCAGGGCCGGCTTTATCTTTACCAGAAGGTTCCAATTTGTGTCCAAATGTAAAAGCTGGAGCGCGGGGTCTTCTAGACTCAGGTGGAGGTTTACCTAGAATAAAAAATAACTTTTTATTTTTTCAATCAGTACTATATCACTATGTTGTATGTATTTATATGTAAAATAACTTATTCGAAAGCGAGAGATAGCCGAAATGTGTATACAAAAAAAAATTTTTATTACTTATTGTACAAATACCTAATTCATTTGGTATACAAAAACAAAAAGATTACAGTGGCGTATATAAACAGAAGTGTCATCTCTATTTCCATTTACATGACACAAATGTTGATTTAAACCACAACGACTTAGCTTTTAGCTTCACACATTTTTGAAATTCGCAAAGAGAATTTATATGCTAATACTATATTTTATCAATTTATAATTATTAAATATTAATTATTACTAAATTATTACTTACAGAGTTTATAGTATAACACACACTAGCATTTATATCACAAAAATAAATTATATTGTATTATATATATATATATATATATATATATATATATATATATATATATATATATATATATATATATTTCAATGGTTTGATAATATATATCAAACCATTAAGACAAACAAAAATACATAACAGAAAACAATAACATATTATTTTGAATTTTAATATAACATGTAAACATAACAATTAACATGTTACAATTTTTTCTATTACGTGGTAACTATGTACCTACATATTATGTGAGTTCCACACAACGCTCACCTTGTTCACGGTCAATGTTTTTCGCCCACAATCGTTTTAGATAACAACCAAATAAAGTTTAATTACTCGTTTCGAGTTAAACTCATAAATCACAATTTCCACTCGGCCGACTCTATTTAAATGAATGATAAAAATTACTTTATAAATGCAGACGATGACCGCATCTCTCTAAACGAATCTAGGAAGTTAAGTGTGGTTTTGAAGCTAAATAAAAACTTGTTCTTGTTATTACTTATGAACACAAAAGTTATTGGTTAACTAAGTGATATCACGTTTTGTATGAACACGGGCAAGGTCGGTGTTCAAGCGCGATAATCTCACAACCTCTCGATGATGTCAGCCTCAGCGCGCTCTCCGAACAATACTACCAAAATTGATAGATGTATGCATAAAAGAAATCTACCGTGACCAAATAAGGACTGTACACCGTAAATAGGACTGAACTATAAAATATACCTATAATTTATTCTGTAACTGTATACAAGATAATTTTATATATTTTTCATTCTAACTGCTCTACTTAACTAGGTTAAAAATTGAATATCCGAGTGGACATTCCAAGCCAATGTAACAATTTTTGCAATATTTTTGTACCTAATACATTTTGCTGTCGTATTACGCAATTGTTTACATTGCAACTAAATAAATTCCATGTCTCTTAAGTACACAAAAATTAGTCGTTTTCAAACTATAAGAAAATTACACACTTACCAAAGAATTGTAAAATATTAAATACTAGCATTGCCCGCGGCTCCGCCCGCGTTCAGATGACCAAAAACTAAATTCTTAGGTGTTACATATTAGTATACTCTTACATTGCAGTTTTTGTATTTTTCCTCAGAAATAAGATATTTTCCCGCGGTAAAAAGTATCCTAGGATCGCGCGCTACATCGCCCGGTTTATATAGCTTGAGCAGGCGGTCGAGCGATGCGGGGCAGAGGGGATGGACTCGCCGTAGGCATCTCAATGCTCGCCAAGCATTAAAAATGTTTCGCTACTAATTACTTCTAACAACGATATCTCAAAAACTATTCATCTGATTGATTTATTGTAAAGAGCAATTTTAATCTGCATTAAATGACTAAGCTAACTAAAATATTCATTTGGATAAGGATTAATACCGAACTAAAGAAAATAACTTTGAAAATAACGTAATGTTTTTAATTAAAAATGTTAACATAAAAGTGGTTATTGTAAGTCAACCGTAAGAGATAGAGATATGCTATCGCGGACTTTTTTGTAGCATTTTTATAGATTTTGAATTCTCTAGTACATTACTTAACTGTATCTTTGCTAGTTTACGCGGCGTTCGCGTGGAAAGTTCCCATTTGGCGAGATTTTTTGCGACCTCTTCAACATTTGTCGCCGTATTTCAGCTAATTTACATAAAAGCATAATAAATTATATACCTAAACCTTCCTCAAGAATTACTCTTTCTATTGTTGAAAACCGTATAAAAATCCGTTCAGTAGTTTTCGAGTTTATCGCGTACAGACAGACAGGAGGACAGAAAGACGCGGCCGGGGGACTTATTTTTATAATAAGTATAGATTCTCTAAGAAAAGTTATATTTGACTTAGATTTCGTTTCTTTACAAAAACAGTATACGTGGATTCAAAAAATTATTTAAAGCGATGACAACATAGCACCAGTAACTTTATTATTTATATTAAAATCTTCTACTGAAATAGCATCACTTAAAATTAAATTACTATTATAAATAAAGCATAGAGAGTAGATACAATTATTAATGTCTCTATAATAATATTTAATAATTATAAAAATATATAATAATTAAAAATAAAAAAAAATTATATTAAGGAACGGTAAAAAACAATAGCAATACAAGTAAACCAAATTAGATAAAATTTGGCACATTATTAACCTCCGTCTAAAGACGAATCCGCGTGCAGAAACTAGCAAGTAATATTTTTAACCAACTCACCGATTAGAGAAGGTAAAGACACAACAGCTGGTCCAGGACTGGCGGCTTCAGCAGCAATGGGGCCACGTCTCTTAGTAGGAGTCCACGGATTTTGACGAACGCCCATCGGTGTGTCACACGGATAAGACCTCTTGGTCACCGTCGAATCAGTGTGTATTAAACCGGTATGTGTTCTTCGACGTGTGCTATGAGATATTACCTGATAGATATAAATAATTCTATTATTTTTATATATTATAGTACGGTTTTAAATTAACTATTTAGGCATATTATACGGTATTAGCCAAGTAAAAATTTACCGATCTAGCGGTACTCGTTGATGATTTTGTTGCTTGCATAGTTAGCTTTAAAAAGCTAGTACACTATAATATGTAGAAATTATAGGTCTTGTAAATAACAAACCAAATTAAACATAAACGAATAAAAACTATTGCATAGAAATATAAGAAAATGTCTTTTAGTGAGTAAAAAATAAGTTGACACAAATTTTGACAAATTTTAATGTAACTAGCATTCTAAATGTTTTCATAGACAATAGATTTATGAAATAAATAATTAAATATACGCAACAACGTATTTTTTTTAATTTATCATAGCGGCATCATACGATAGGTACTAAGACACACACATGTGAGCTCATTTTTTAAAAACCTTTTCTATATTGAGGTTAGTGCGATGGAAATGTTAATAATTAAGGTATTCATGATAAAAATCTGAATATTCACTTATTTATTAAACATAACTTAAACTTTTAATAAGATACAATAAGTAAACACCAAAAAAAAACAAAAAAAACTTCATAATCTATGCTAATATTATAAAGGACAGAGTTTGTTTGTTTGTTTTTAGAACATGCTAATCCCAGGAACTACTAATCCGATTTGGAAAAATCTTTTCGCATTAGATAACCCGTTTATTACGAAAAACTACAGGCTATATAATCATCATACTACTCCCAAGGGAGCGGTGCGAATGTCAAGAAATCGGACACACTTCCATACATTATTGTAAATCTGATATTTATAATCAAACAAATTTAACGTGGACGAAACCGCGGGGCACAGCAGCTAGTGTTATGTAAAATGCAGACATCATAAATCGCTCTATGGACGTTCGGTCGATTCGGTTCCTATGATCGTAAGTTCTCTATAACTACTCACATGTATTGTGTAGATGATATACATTATTTATTTATTCACCTATTAAATTATTCTAAGTGGAATATGTCGTGCTAAACTAACATTAGCATTAAAATAGTCTGTCAGCGATATAAATAATTAAAACTGTATAACCTACATCCGCAGTATCAATGCTGTTCCTGCTATCCATTAACAGTTATTGCTATTTTTATTTAGCAATACACTTACCAAATACATACAAGTTGTTTTCTGCATATGGTCTTAGAGAATGCTATCATTTCACGACTACCAAATATGTCTAAGTCTTCGCAACGTATATATTCGCTAGATTGAAGACTCAAAATACAAAAACGGTCACGTCATATTTCTATTTTAGCTTTAGCTGTAGTTTGCAAATATAAAAAAAAAATGATTAGCATCAAAGCAATATTATAATGTTGTTATTACCCATCAGAAAAAGAATGTTGATATTAAACATAATTATTAGTGTATTAAAATTATAGGCATAGAGAAATGATTAGGACGATTTAAATTAATATAATATTACTGAAGAACTAAGTTTATTTTAATACTAGCTAGCTTCCCAATACAAACTTTCACCCCTCGAGGGATGATTTCCGGGATAAAAATCCTATCCTGTCTTTCCCAGGGTCTCAAACTATCTTATTACCAAATTTCATCTAAATCGGTTCAGTAGATCCAGAGATTACACCCTACAACGTTACAACTCACAAACTTTACCTCCTTATAATATTAGTACTATAGATTATCGATATCTTCGAAGTTAGAAATACTCGTAAGTAGTGTGATTGAAACACACGTGCAAGATTAATCAATCAATGCCCTTAGGCTTTAATGACATGTGACAAACCGGTTACACCTACCCACACGGTATACGATTGCCTTCGTGTTCGCCCACTGTTAGTACTTATGTGACGGAAATGATTTATTGCTATTTTATGAGTAAGAAAAATATATTGTAAAGTACTATTTAAAATACAGTTTAAATAAACCTTGCAATTTCATTTGAAAATATTGCATCTTTTTAGCACAAACATTTATAATAAAAAAAAAAAGACAAATAAAAGTAATTCGAACGATTTATTAGAAAAGCTGTTGGGTCTATCATAGAAAATGTCTAGTCCATACATAAATTGCTAAACAATATGGAATACTTATTTAATATTACATTAAGTTTTAGGTTTTTAACATTCCCTACTTTCTCTCGGGGAAAAATACCTATAGGGAATCACGTACCATGCACCGCATTCTAATGAAACAAGATTTTTAAGATTAGGTTAGAAACTCTATCATTTTTGTTACAGCGTGTTCATTTTTGTATCATCATCATATATTTAGTTTATACATTCTAAAGTAATTCGTATTACTTTTTTATATTTGGATTAAGAAACAAAAATAAATAAGTAATACTTCTTTTCCCTCCGACAAATTCAAAATAACATTAACATATTATTGACTAAAAAAATATTCGTCATAACATCCTGAAAGAAAGGTAATTCAGTACCAGTCTGTGCGAGTTACTGTCAACGTGAAAAATGAATAAAATCCTATTTGGGCCATTCGTCCCATAACATTCGCGAATACGAGGCCTCGCTTCGTTGTTATTTCTTTACATATAAAGCTTTTATGAAATAAGAAATAACGATTAATTAAACTTCCTATTAAATAACTAAAATAAAGCTTTTATGAAATAAGAAATGACGATTAATTAAACTTCCTATTAAATAACTGAAATTTTCTTGCTTTGAATGAAAAAATATGTTTTATCTTTTTTTAAACAGTAGGTAATAACGACCTATACGAATAATTTTGACCTATACGAATTATATGATATTGCAAGACCATTTTTTTTTAAATAAATTTTTTGACATTAGATATCTATAGTCGCGGACACCCTACGATCAGTAGATTTTGAGACAAGTTTTAGGGTGTCAAAGTAAAAATTTATAGCTGACTATCTCCAATTCTGAAGTGAAACCCCTAATTTGACTGGACTAATTTGTAAATTTAAGATTCAATAAGAAATATGTAGACCTACCTTATGAATAAAATTGGTTTAACCAAATTATATTTGCGAACATTTTCAGATTTTGCTTACAAATCGGTCTGTGGTCTCGAGCAGAATTTCACATAGTAATCTATTTCTATGACATTTTATTGTACTTGCGCAATTTTGATATTATTTTGGACATTCATCTTCCAAGAATAACCACCACCTTTATCTGCTTTTTTAACTTGTTTCGTACTTAAATATTATTTAAATATTCTATTTAATATATTTTATATACTATCTATTTAACACTACTAATCCAATAAACTGAAAGTATGTAGTTAGTTATTTCTGTAAAAAATTTAGTAATTTTTAAACGTATTTACTAAAAGAAAGTCTTAATGGCCGATTTCACCAACGTCACCTAAGTTTAAGTATGGTTAGGGGGCTGTTAGGGGACAGTTTCTATTTCACCGACAGTTAGGGGTCACCTAAATGTTAAAATACCACCTAAATATAGGTACTAGAAATATGGGTTCTGAAGATGGTAAAACGAAATTTAATTTAGGGGCTAGTTTAGGGGAACCTTTAAGTTCCCCCCCAACGTGCGTTCACCTTGTCGTGGCTCAGTAGTAGTAGCGAAGCTAAGAAACGCACAGGGACGTTGCCCACTTCGGTGGGCGGTGGGAAGTGGCCCTCTTCGGGGGGCGGTGTACTTTGCGGGTTGCTCCTGGTACTTCTCTGATAGCAGAGTGGATCTTGGAGCAACCCCATGGTTGTGGTGGTCTGATTTGGCAGACCTGCCGTCGGGGCGTCGTAGTTGAATGCGTAAGCGATCCTGCGACGCCCCATTAAGACGGGGGAAGGTTTTGTTGGGTTTTAGTGGGTAGTACTGGCTGTATTACGCCGGTGAGTCCCACACGTCGTGCGTAAATGCATTTCCCAACGTTAAAAAAAAAAAAAAAAAAGGGGAACCTTTAAGTTAGGGATCCCATACATAGGTATTGGCATATGGGATGTTGGTGAAATCGGGCATTATTCACTCATCTAACTTATATAATTCTATAGACACATAAACTAAGCTATCATTTAAATAATTCCTCTAAGAATTCAACCTCCCCTTTTTTCTCTCTAGTTATACTAGCATCTGATCTAACTTTCTAATCAACTGTGAAACTCGCAATGTTTACCATAATATTATCATATACCTGTTTATTTATTAAAACTATACAACATCATCCATTTAATTTACTACTAAGCATTTTAGCTTTTACCCTCGACCCTATATAATAGTTAAAACATAATTGCAGAAATATTTAAAAATTTAATTAATTTTTTTTTTAAATTTACTAGCGACTCACCCTCGTTTCGCTCTGGTTTGTCTCTAGGTACGTTTTAACGGTTAGTATGAAATACAAATCTTTGAATTTCTCGGCTTTTCTGTACTATAATATGCATGTTTTATACATATGAACCTTCGTCTTGAATCACTCTATCTATTACTGAAAACTGCATTACAATCCGTTAAGTAGTTTAAAAGATCTAAACGAACAGACAACGACTTTATTTTATACTATGTAAAGATAGCTATTTGCATAGCACACCGATCTGTATGTATTTTTATCTAGTGTTTTAGTTGTTATCCTAAACCCCACATAAAATTCCAGTATTTGAGGTTAGGTGCATCATAAAGCGTATATGAAATATAATCGCTATAAAAGGCTACATCGATCATACATTCAAAAACTGCAAACTTTCCAAATAAAATTCGAATATTCATCATTTCATTTCCAGATACGAATTTTAAGAAGTTTATATATAAATCAAAATAACATTATAAATGAAAGTTAAGAATTAGTTATTTAATTCCGATATAGTGATGGCTAAGATCTTTAATTAGATCTCTTATTATACCTCTCACGAAGCATAACCGCGGACAAAAAGTAGTACATAATA